TCATCATCATCATCATCATCATCATCATCATCATCATCATCATCATCGCCATCTTCATCGCCATCTTCATCACCATCATCATCATCATCATCATCATCGTCATCGTCATCATCATTGTCATCGTCATCATCATCTCATCAGCATCAGTAATGATCCATCAACAATCATCATGCATCATCATTCGTCCATCATCAATCATCATTGTTTTCTTCATCATCATCACCATCACCATCATCATCACCATCACAATCATCCATCACCGTCACCATCACCATCATCATCATCATCATCGTCACAATCGTCCATCATCAACCAGTCAATCAACCAATCAATCAACCAGTCAATCATTGAGTCAATCAACGAGTCAATCAATCAATCAATCAATCTATCTATCAATCAATCAATCAGTCAATCAATCAATCATTCAATCAGTCAATCAATCAATCAATCAATCAGTCAAATCATCACCATAATCATCATCAATACATATATATATATATATCATATCGTATGTAAATACATAAAACATCATAAAACCCTTTTGGGGCAACTGGTCGGCTGTGCTGTCGATCACTTGTCCGTCCTGCAAGCAGGACAAACACCAGCTTCCACGAGCAGAAACTCTTGCGCTGCTCGCGCTGTGCTTCCCTCTACTCCACCTCTTCACCGCTGGAGACCAAGCCATGCCGTCGATGGAGACGGGAATGGATGGCTTGAGGTCCATCGCGAACGATGGGCGCGGTGCTCCACCGGAAGTTCACCGCACCATGGACCCTGTTGTCGGGATCGAAGAGTTCCCCCCTTGCACTGCACCCAATATACACTGCCCACGGCCTTTGGGGTACATCATGCTGCATCATGCTGCATCATGCTACATCCAATTTACGTCGGTGTTGTTCCTGGGAGCTAATTAGTCATGTATCATGTACCTTTTAAGATCGTCCTTAAGAGCCCACCCACTGGCCGCTGTTGGGCTGTTGGAACTGGATGTGTCACTCGGCACTGGAGGACCATCCGAACTCCTCCGAGTTTCTTCCGCCGCGCCTTCTCCGCCCAGCTCGGCTTTCTCGGCCACCCACCCGACGCGGAAGCACCACTTCCGCCACGCTCGTGGTGTTCAGCTTCAGCGTCTGCGTTGGGTTCCGGGCCGTTCCCCAAAATTGATCGATGACCAAAAGAAGTGCTCACGGGTTGAAACCACCCCTTTGAGTGGCATGCTATCGACAGTGGCATACCCACCCAGGTACAAGCACAGGGAAATGGATAATAGACCACTGGAAGACTCACCTCGTACAAGACAATCATTGACATGTGTCATTGCCCGGGGCTTTGGTCGGAGTGAGAGAATGAGCTCGTGAGCTCGACCGTGAGCTCGTGTGGGCTTTCTTTCGGGAACTACAGTATATAAATCAATGAAAGTCCGATTAGTTGGGGATTGCCATGTCTGTTTTCCACACAAACAAGGCCTTGTCAAAGTAGCCATCAAATCACATGCCCTCACTGGTACACTCCGCGCAGTAGTATATACAAACTACAAACTCATCCACATCACTGCAAGTCGAGTCGACATGTCGACGGGGTTCTTGGAGCGAACTCTGGATCAATCAGCCAGTCAGCTGAGATGTTCTTCCTGCTCAAAATCCCCTCCCTCCCCTGCCAGACCAGGCGACAACCAGTAGCGTCCTTGCTCCGTTCGTAGCGCTGCCAGGAGCCCCTAGTAGCTTCTTGCTCCTAGTAGCGATGCCCTTTGCTCCTAGTAGCGTCCTTGCTCCTAACAGAGGTGTTCGCCCAAGGCCTCCAGAGGACTTTGCCACCTAACCATGGATGGCACGCGAGGCATTGGTGATCGACGCACCTCTCAGCCTCTCATTACTCTCACCCAGGTAGCGATGGCCTCCACCCTAGTAGCGATATTTGTGATCAACACCTCTCAGTCTCTCAATCGAATCACTTTTCCATGCACTTGCTGGGAGAAGTGCCAGCAAAGCTTAGCGAGCTGTACCCACAGTAGGCAACCGACAGGTTCGCACTGAGCCAAACAGAAACCAAGGCCTTCTTACATACAAAAAATAGAGGAGGACCCCACCCGCACTGAACAGTGCATGACAACAGCATTCTTGCCTGGGTTTTGGGGAATCCATCCTCCACATGGGAACAACAGGAGTCCCCCGTGAAGTGGTACTACCCCCCCCGCACCGGCAGAGCCTTGCGGCTTTTTCCAGTTGGGGGGGATCTCGTGATACGGATCCGTTCGGGTTCGGATCGGCATCCAACCGGACGCTTTGGGAACCGAGCCGGGGAGAAGTTTGGTTGACGAGCCGTTGTGCGAATTGCTGAGGGATTTGTGGATATCCTTTTCCGATGAATTGGTGTAGATGATGATGTATCGTTTTCACATCACAATAGTAAAGCACGAGTCAATGATAAACCTCAAATTCCACGATTTGATTATCAGGAGGGCCTTGAGCAATCAGTGGTGTCAAGTCAGGTGTCATTGGTGAGGGGGCCGGATTCTTAGTGTAGTTGAAGTAGTTGATCTTTTGGCAAATTAAATACATACAGGACCGAGGAGATTGTTGACGAGTTGCAAAAGCGCAATCCTCCTCTGCTCCAATCCCATTTTGTCTATAGCCTTTCATGATCTTTCATGCCTTCCCGGGCCTTCCCCAGAGTTTTTCAGGAGATAGATCGAGATCAAACATGCCTTCTCAAGGCTTCCAAGTTTCGCCTTCTCCATTTTGGGGAGCCATTGCCCTGGAAAGGGCCTTTAGACTGGTTTTAGCCAGTCATCAGCAATAACATGTAAAACCCACCTGTGAAAACAAAGGGTCCTCTGTTCCCGTGATCTCTGCAGAACGGCTCCCAGCTCTCGGTCCCGGTCCCGGTCGACTGGGCGTCCAGCACAGACAGCCGTCCCACGACGCAACTCACGGGACTGCCATGTCGGACTGCCGAGAGTTCCGGCCGGTGGTGCCACGGGGGGTCAATGTAGGCATATATATGGTATACATGGAATGCTTGGGTATTCTATCTCCCTTTTCCGCCCCTCTGAACATGTTTTGGACATGGCTGCTCTCCATTTGGACCCCTCATGCCCCTCATGACCCTCACGTTCCTCCGAACAGACCCTGCATTCGGCGTTTCGCCCGTCCCTGCACCACTTGGGCCCTCCAAACCCATTGCATCTTTCCGCGGCCATACCTGCAGTTGTCGGATGTTCTTACCCTTGGCGTTTTAGCGTTCACCCTCTCGGATTTTTCTTGGTGTGTGTATGCTGGTCCGGTGAACGACTGCCGGAACCTTAGAACGTGGAACCCTAGCCTTCCAAGAGTGGTTGATCTGCCAACAAAACATCTACAAACTTGGTAGAACATAATGGTTGTTCGATAAGAACGTATAAGAACCACTAAAATCACTGGCCAGGAATCCCAAACATGGAACTTTCACCCGGTCCTCTGAGTGGGGAAGCGATCTTTATCCGTTTCACCCACTTCAGATCGGTGCGCCCCAGGATCGGTCACGCTTCTCGCAACACCCAAAACAACCAGAGTCCTTCGTCGCCGAACCACGGAACCGAAACGACTCGGGGCGACTCGGCGCCCGGACCAATTCTCTGTCCACCTCGGGGCGAGCGGGTTGGACCCGGACGAGGGTCGGTCGGGTCAGGTTGACACGTAGAGCGCATCGTGACCCCACGGCTCAGAACCGGTAAGGGTGGTCTTGATCAGGATTTCATGTGTAACATGAGGTGTCTTTTGGTCTCTCCCTATAATGATTTGGATACACACTCACACCTAGACCTGAAAAAATGGAGCTGGAAGCGTCTACTAACATGTAGGGTGCACGGGTGACCATTTGGAAGGTCCCCCGGTACAGGTGCAAGATGAATGTGATGCTTGTGACTGTCATATGAAAGATATATATATATATACATACAGTATAATGTGTATATACATATATATCTGAATGAACAATGGACACATTTAAAAATGTTGCTTTTGTACAAGTATAATAGGAACCTATCATAGTCATGGTCAGCCTCGAAACCCCTTTACAACCTCAGCAACGGTACTTGGGGCCGCCCAAACTCTTTGTTTTTAATCTTGTCAACCCCTTTTTCTGTGAACAGCGGCTTTTGTTTATTGCTAGATAATTACCATTAAATACCTATATATAATGGTCGGTGTGGCTGGTACATTCTACACTCGTTCCTTTCATGTTGAACACGTTTGAATAGAAACACCTGCTGGGCTTTGGGTGTCGCTCCGTGTCCAATCCCGAAAAGTGTGTTTGTCAAATTGTCATCTTCTGTATATATACATATATAAGCTGTTTAAAAGGGACTCGTCATGTGTGTGTGTGTGTGCACGTGTGTGTGCGTGTCACACCCTGTCCCGAAGAGGTTTTGTTAAGTGCAGGGGCGTGTGACACTCTTATCCTATCACACGCAACGACGCTGTGGATAAGAGTGGGAAGGGAAACTTGGCCATTTTCCTGTACCTGCAACGCAACTGTTGAACACGCTGTCCAATTGGACTTTTTGTTTCCATGGTGGTTTGCATGGTACTCCCCACAAACCCACTTTCAAGCTGCTGAGCTCGCCGCCGCCGTTTTTCTGCGATTTCTGAGCGTTTGCAACACCTGTGTTCAACATCTTCAATTTTTCGGACTCACTCGCCTTTCTGTTCCCTCATTCATTTCTGCGTGGAATTGGCTTAACTGCAAACTCATTGTCTAAGTGTGTGCCACTCTGTCGTCCCACTGGGTGCAGAGTGTGATCCTCTCGCAAGAGAGGCGCTGAAGCCACTCCGGACTACCGTGTTTCTGACTCGAAGTGCAGCCGTCGTGGTTTCTGGTTTGATGAGTTTTGTTTCACACAATGAATTTCCTGCCACAACACTGCCGAGTTTACGGAGATTTGACACCGCCGGGTTTACGGAGATTCGACAACCGCCGGGTTTACGGAGATTCGACAACCGCCGGGTTTACGGACATTCGACACACACACACACACACACCACCTTTGCACGCGAATTCACACTTTTATCCCACCCGCTATCTAGGGTAACAGAAGGAAATGGTACTCGACACACTTGTGTGTCGGTGCCTTTCCTTCTGTTTCTCCTGTCCTAGTCCTATCTACCCGGGCGGTTTAAGACTAATGTCCCGCTCGCTAACTAGTGCACCTAATTAAGAGCCGCTAAGTAGTCAGTAACTAGTTTTTGTTGAAACCTTCCCTTCTGTTGATCGGACCCAGCATTTCTTGCCGTTCCCTCAAGACAAGGGCTAAGTATTCAGTAACTAGAGTGCTAGGTAGTCAGTAACTAGAAGGTTTCGTAACTAGTGGGCCTCGTAACTACACCTATGTTTCTCTCTTGCCCTTTGCGTTTCTCTTTCTGTATTTTCTCTTCCTTTCTTTCTAAGGCTTTTTAAGTGGTTAGTAATTTCTCTCGAGCGCCGATATCGGCGCTCTGTTTGCATGCTACTCCCCACAAACCCACTTTCTAGCTGCTGAGCTCGCCGCCGCCGTTTTTCTGCGATTTCTGAGCGTTTGCAACACCTGTGTTCAACATCTTCAATTTTTCGGACTCACTCGCCTTTCTGTTCCCTCATTCATTTCCGCGTGGAATTGAGTTAACTGCAAACCCATTGTCTAAGTGTGTGTGCGTGCGTGCACACCTGCAACATGGCTTCTCAGGAAGTCAACCAAGTTGTCTCGTGGAGTTGTCACCTCCTTCGGTTGACCTTTCTATCCACGCCCTCAGCACCACAAAGGCAAAAAAGGACCGTCCGTTTGGGGCGAGGGTATCGGGTCTCTGAGGAGTATTGAAACCGCGTTGCTGATCATTGAAGCGGCTTGTTAGGTTAGGTAGACGAGTTTCCCCTATATACAAAACTTGGATGATCCACATGAAAGAGGGCCGGTGACACGCGAAGCCTGAAGAGGGTGATGTCGAAAGATTTTTCAAGAAGGCCGTAATAAGGAATGCAATACAAAAGGATGAAGAGAGCGCAAGATCTAGGTTGGAGGCCATCGCTCTATTCGGTTGGAGGGTGTCGCTATTCGGTTGGAGGCCATGGCTATTAATTTCACTATCAGGTTAGAGGCCATTGCTCTTAGGTTGGAGGCCACCTCTCTGATCTCTCTTAGGTTATACCGTTATACCAATAGTAGGGAACCTTCCTCAACTTGTGGAGTTCCATAGGTCCCACATGTTCCACGATACTTTTCTTGTGCTCTTTTACCTCCCCCCAACCCTCCGAACTCTCCCCAAAATCTCCCCAAACTCATCCATTTGCGTTTCACGCCTCTCGACGGAAGAAAAAAACAGAAAACTCCGCAAAGTCCAACGACCATCCCAAGTCCTCACCACTTGCTCCATCTGAGGCCTCCGACCCGTGGGAATCATGCCAATGTTCCCAGTCCCAGTCACTCTGCGAGCCCTGGCGATCGCCCAATTGGCCCCCAAAGGATCGGACCCAGGACCTTGGGAGACGGGTCCTCTACTGCCATAGCTATGAAGGATCCTTGATGACATTGCTTGCCTGTGATCAAGTGAGATGAAATCTTCACATATCTCTTACAGAATTCCTACCTGGACCTTTTATAAGGGGTCTCCTGGCTTCAGGTCCCTTAGTAAGGCCTTCCAGCCAGGTGCCGCCAGCGGCCGTCACTTCGGCGAAGCCGGGCGTTCCGCGCGTACCCCGACGTGAGGCGTCGGACGGACGGACCCTCGACCTGACACGGACGTGACCCGGTTGAGGGGATCAACTCAGAACATCCTCATACCTCATGAGCCCATGGGATGCCCATGGGATGCCCATGGGTATGGTGACAGTGCCAGGACCCCATACCTTCCACGTCCGCCACCGATGGCCTCGCCCGGCTCGCTGGAGCGTGAACCCCGCGCATTCCGCTCCTGGTGACCGGGCGGAGGCGTTGCCGCTGCGGATGTCCATTCCGGTGCGAAGCGAGCAGGTCTTCGGTCGGATGGGATGCGAGGTCAAAGGAGGCGTTGGTTTTTCAAGATGTCGAACTTCAGGAAAAGAGGATGACTGGTCCATACTGGTCCGAGGATGATTCTGCTTGTTTGGAGGATCTGAAGGGTAGGGCTCAAACATAGCCACCTAGTGGAAGAGTTAGTGCCCCAATCGTGCATTGCACGTTTTTCTTTCACTCGCTGTCGCAGCCATACCTGGTTCCCCTGGTTGGCACAGAAGGGCGAGGAAGAGAAGAAGCCGAGCTCGGAACACCATCCATTCCCTGCGCTGGAAGAAGGTGTGGACCCACCAGCAGCTTTTGCGAGTTCGAAAAGCGGTGCATCTGCTGCAAAACCATCATTCTGCACCGACCTATAGTTTCTCGCGACGATACACCATTAGGATGCCATGGAAAAAGGGAAAGGATTGGTTTTGGGATCAGTCCCAATGGAGTGTTCCGAAGGGCCGAAAGAAAGACACCAAGAACACAAAGGATGGCAAGGTGTTCATGGTCGGGTACGATGGTCGCCGCATCGAGTTCGAAGGAGAAAGTGGTTCATCCTCGCATGGATGGTATGCTGGGTCGCAGGAAGCACAGCTGAAGGAGGAGAACCAAAAGCTCAAAGAAACTATGCGAAATTTGATGCAGAAAGATACGGTGAAAGACGTCCCGAAGGAGGTGATCGACTTAGTCAAAGAAGACCCTCGAGAGCAGCTGAAGGCCAAGCAGAAGGAGTTGAATGCCGAGAGAAAGGCCCTCAACAGGCTTTGCAAAGTGAAGGAAGACATGGCACAGAAAGAGGTGGACTTCCGGTCTTGGAAAGACTCAATCTCCGAAGGAGTGCGAAAGGAAGAAAAGCGCTATTCTGGTGCGATGGCAGAGCTGCAGGAGGAATTGAAACGGCTCGAGAAAACGAAAGATGGAGAGTCGGACCCCGAGATGTTGGTGATCGATTCCGATGGGGAAGAGCAACGTCAAGAGACCAACAAGCTCAAACAGGAGTTGAGACAGATCAAAAGTCGTTTCCAAGAGTATGCGGAGTACACCACTCAGCTGGAGGTGCGCAATGCGCAGATGTTCGATGCGATGCAGGCGCAAATGTCACAGCTCATTGGTGCGATACAGGGGTCATCCCTTGTAGGAGACATTCCCAACTCATCTCCAAAGCAAGAAGTCAAGATACCCAAGACAATTGGGATGCAGATCAAGGAGGAGTCCAAGAGCTACAGCCCAGAGAGGAAGAGAGGACGGTCTCGAACTCCTTCCAAAAGATCCAGGCATCTAGAACCACAAGCCGAGCTTCAATACAAGTACGAGGACTTGGAAGAGGAAATGTCTGTGCTCACGGAGAGAGACCAGCAGAGAGTATTGCAGGCGATCACCACAAATCCTGCGAACTATGTGACATGGGAGTCGGCTCTTGCGCTGATACAGAAGCTGCAGCCAAAGCAGGAAATTGCAGCTCCTGTGCCTCGGATGGCGAATATGCCACTGGAAGAAGGCAAAGCAGAAGGTGGAACATTTGCACCTTGCCTCAATGGTACAAGCCTAAAGGAAGCAGGGTCAGACCTTCCTATTGCGCTGGAGCATCCTTGTCGCCCTTTCCGGCGCTTCAACGGGAAGGACAAGATGGGGCCGTACACTACTCCAACCCGGTCAGAAAAGGAGAACGCCAAGACCCCGGATGGTGGTTCGAGAGTCAACATGGACTTGATGTCCTAGTGTCTTCAACCAAAGGAGGCATGTATAGCGCCATGTTTGAAGGCTGCTTTTCGCTCCTTGGTACACTAAGTTTGGGGGTTTCTTTTTCTAGTGTCTTACCCAATATCGGATTTTCTGGTTGTGTGGTAAGCCCCGGTGTATGGCCATTTGAAGCCTACACCTTGCTTTCGTTGCTCTTATCAGCTGGCCTGTGCTATTTCGTACAGTGGACGGCCTTTGATGAGACTGCGGCTTTTGGATGTTATCGAGCTGAACTCTATGGATATGGTGCGGAGGGATGCTTCAAAATTTATGAGGAATGGAAAGCAAGCCTTGTTTCTGCTGCTTGTTGGCTCCCACGAGAGTGGAATGCTGATATTTTCCCCTATGTGCTGCAGAGTTGGGGTATAAGCCTTTTCATCCTATGTTGGATATTCTTTGCCAATCGGGCCTCTTGTGCATTTCCGGATGTAGTGCACAATTTGGTGGCCTCACGACGAGTCAGGAAGTGCCTATATATCTGGCCTCATGCTTCTGGATATGCGGGATTCATTCTTTGGCAGGTTTTGACTGTCCTTTGCAATGGTTTTATCCTGGAGCTGGCTGGTGATGATGAGCAGGGGTTTCGCAGCTTCGGTGGAGTCCAAATCTTACTAGGCACTTTCTATGTGAATCTTTTCGCTTTATGCTGTGCTTTACTTGGCATCGTTGGGAGGTTTCGCGAGGAACGAGCTTTTCCAAGACCTTTGCCAGGACGCAGCAGTTTTGTTGGGGGCTCCAGACAACCTAGCCATGAGAGACCCTGTAAGAAACGGAGATGGACTGTAGCCTTTTTCCTCCTACTCCTTGGAGGAGCTGAGGGCATCTCCATCATAGAGCATTCGCATGGACAAAAGCTAGAATCGGGCCTCTCTGAGGCCAGTAAAGGGAAGAAGCAGCCAGGTAGACTTGACGAGCTGACTTCGTATGCGACCGTTGATGATCGGTCCTCAAGTCCCCGGAGCTGGAAGGATTTCTCCCTGTTTTGCGGAAAAAGGCAAACATGTCCCTTTTCCGAGCTGCCAGATGGGCAGGTGGAGCCCCCTTTTTGCCTCCGTGCACGACTCGACAACCAGTACGAGCTCTGTGCTGTGCATGAATTTTTCCCACTTTTTGGGGCTCTTGACGTAACAAATACTCAGATGCCTGTTTGTGGGGCCTCCCGAAATTGTATCGTTGATTTCCAAGAGCAGGAGATTAGCTTTGTCCAAAGATCGGTTCAAGTGCGGCTGCCCTCCTGCCCCGCTTGCAATGAACATTCTCAAAGATGGCCAGGGTGTCAGAAAGTGCAGGTCTGGTTTGCCGGACGATCATCATGTTCAATGGCGCCAAGACATACTTTCCTTCCACGTACTGATCTAGTTGAATTGCAACCGCTTTTCACAGAGCTATGGAAGGACCAATGTGACGATGCCTTTTGTGAGTATGTCATTGTGAGGCCGCAACCTACCGAGTATGATTTTGATCATGACCAGTTGCATTACCTAGTCTACAAGTTTTCTAGACCATGGGACTGGCCTGTTTTGATTGTGAAACAGGTAGGAGAGTCCTCATCGGATGCGACCTTGTCGTATCATTCATGTATGCTCTCGAGGCTCGACCCAATTCGATCGCTCCTAAGGACCGATGTGATTAGGCATAGAGCGCATTTTGTTTCATTTCGCGAACAGACTTTGCCAAAGGTTAGTGGTGAGTTTTGCCATCTGCATGTCCGAACATGGACCGAGCAAGATCACGAGCCCACCATGGAGGATTTGAATAGTTTGATGCAGAATTCTGTGACCCCATATGTGCTTGATCCGGCTCTGGATTTTGTACTGGAGAGCCTTGGAGTGGCTCGGACGGTTGTTACTGTCTGGCTACACACGTGGGACCGAAGAGAGATGTGGTCTTCTACATATAGAAGGCACGAGATTGCTTTGAACCGACAAGTCCGGCCGCAGATCGTCGGCCAATGGCGAGTTTTCCAGGTCAGGCCACAAGCACAACTTGTTCCAGTTCGCCCTGTGGAGCATGAAGTAACTTTTCTTCTGCTCACTGTTTGCCCTGAAAGCTGGATAGGGGTCCTAGCTACTGTGGACATACTGTCAGAGAACTGGCAAGGCACATTTATGTACATGGTTCCCCGATTTCCTTTTGTCCATGAGCTTTTTGCTGCACGACTGCCGCATGTCCAATGCGTCTGGGTGTCTGAATGTAGCATAATCATTGGACGAAGAGTATACAACTGGGAGCAAATTGTGCCATTGTATTCTGGAATCGCCATCACTTTCCTGGAAAGGATACCTCCGCACCAACAGGTTTTTGTGCCGATTGCTGACCCTGATGGGACCAGTGTTGGCACTTCGGAGGGACTATATACTGCGTCTTCGGCTTCAAGTGATGCATCAAGTCTAGGTTCAGACACACACCATGTGCAGATGAGCGGACAGTGGCCTGGACCTTTTGAGGCCATGTCAGGAGAAAACACTGCAACTCCTCTTTATTCTGGCCAAAGCTCCAGTTTGATGGGACAGACAGGCGACAATGATGATGCTACTTGCTTTATGCAGCGAACAGTTGCGACGGCATCTTTTGTGCCTTTTGCAGTAGCATGTGAACGGGGCCTGCCATACATTAAAACGCTACGTCTCACACGTAGGGAGTTGACGCAGGCTTGGCAAGAATTGGGAGTTGATGTTGTGTACGAGCACTTCAGATCTAGAGAAAATGGCATCTGGGAGAAAAAGATTATGGGCTGGAGCTTCCTTCGGTATGGGCAGCTGCAAGGTGAGCCATTCACGATCTGGATGAGGAGGACAGGTCTGTGGGCCACTCAGTTGATCTCGCCTTTTGAAGACGAAGGTGTCCTTGCTGTGCATTTTGTATTTGTCTTCCCACAGCCAACTATGACTGAGATTGCAGGAAACGGCCGAAACGAACACGATGTCGTTGTTGTTGCCTTGACCGATGAGACAGCTGCAGAAGATTCCTTACCTCTGGTGATACAGCTGGAGCTATCTGGAATCATGGAGCATGTTGCTGTTCACTGCCCGCCCGGATGTACGCCTAATACACTGTGTGCGCTCCTTGGGTTTGAGCACGTCTGCAACCATCCGATGCAGGGAGTAGCATCATTTAGTTATGGAGACATCAAGCGTACATTTGTGGGACATGAACGAATAGGCCTCCCAGCAGGAGCCTTGATAAGGCTCTTTG